CGTGGCGGTAGGCAATGCCAGTCGAAATCAACACCACCCGCAAGAGAGGAAAGAAACTGCGGAGAAAAATTGTCTCTTCCAGTTTCGGAGAGAGCAATGAAATCTAATCTGTGCTCCAAAGATGCCTCAGCAAGAAACCTTCTTTTAGCCAAGTCCTTGAGACCTCTGCTATTCCAAAAGATTCCTTTCATAATTCATCATGGAATTTTTTTGCCGTACAAATCCTAGCACTTCTACGTACCGCGGATGCTGGATACACCTTCCGCTTCCACTTACGTTTAGATTTGTCATTGTCCACCATCCGGTCCTCATAACCGGGCAGTGGTGGTTGAAGGACCTCAACCTCTACGTTGGTCTCCTCCTCGTCTGACTCATTACAGGATGGTGCAAGGTCCGCACACAAGGTGTCTAGCACTCTCACTCCCAACGCATCAATCTCAGCGTCAGTCATAGGACGCACAGCCGCTAGGTTACGAATGGTTTCTAATGCGCGATCCGCCTCCAGATCCAAAAGATCATTAACCGAGTTGGAAATTTCAGCATTATTATTCCCTAGCGAAATCCCTACTTGATTTGCATTATGAATAATCTCATCCGTAGAAAAATGCATAATGGAATTGGATAAATTGACCGACATACCGGAAGTGGCCTCGATACCACGAAGCTTGGCCGCCCTCGTAGAGCACCTCTGCTGCATGTCGTCAACCTCCGGATGATCCAGGAGACGGGAACTCATCCGCCGCCCCTCGGAGACCGGATCAGGGATTCCGCCAAACGCAACAACCTCCTCCCGAGAGGCACCAGTCGCGATAGGAAGTGCCGGACGGCTCCCACCTCCGGCGGTCAGGGGGCCAGGGGTAGAAGGTGCCGGGACCACCTGTCCAAGCACTCCTTCCGCCCCGACCCTCAGTGTTGTTGGAGTCGTCACCCCGCCAGCCGAGGATGAGGGATGGCCCGGGATCACCCTCCCCGGACCCCCTCCAATCACGGCAGTCGAAACCGCCTCCGTCGAAGCCGAAGGGGAAGAGTGTGGGGCCTCCTGCCTCAGACATCCTCCCTCAGAGCCGGCCAGCGCCAGCGCAGCAGGCGTTGCCGGGGCCACCTGCCCCAGACAAACACCCACCCGCCCAGCAGAAGAAGCAGCAGCCAGACGCCCTCCCGACGAGGACTCCTCCCTCTCAGGAGCCCTGATCAAAGCCATCAAGTGATGAGGGATCGAGGTCTCCTGCCTGCGACCTCCCTCCAAGCTCGTAGTCATTACCTACATCTCCGACGTGCCAACAGTATCCGAGGTAGGCGAGATCGCTATCTCCGGACCTTCCTCCACTCCAGGAACATCCACTCTCGGACCCTCAAGGTCCAACGCAGGTAAGGAGTGCTCGAAAACCTCAGAAGACTCCATCCGCTCACTCCATAGTCTCGGGGGTGCCGAAGCTGGCTCAAAGGTACCAAACCTCAGAGTGGTCGTCGGCACCGAAGAAGGAGGCGCCGTATCCCCGCCGGTGGTCTTGACCCGAGACCCCGGTCTCTCGGCCTCTGGACCAGGATCATCTACCGGAAGCTCCTTGCGCCCCCTGTCATCATCCCCCTCGTGCATATCAACGTCCACTGTAGCAGGTGTGTCGGCAAACAGACTGTCATCCTCAAACTCAATCTGAAGGTTATACACCTGACCGCGATAAGCCCACTTCACCACGTCCGGAACATACTCAATGTCCAGGATACTGACTAGGATGCGAGCCACTCCCTGAGCTCTGGTGAAAGCCATATCCACTCGCTCGGGCTTTCCCACCAAAACAGCCATACTAGCAACAACCCTGGCATCCTGCAAGGGCCTGTGTGGTACCCCCAAAAAACGCAACCAAGCCTGGGTAAGTGGCATACCCTGAGGCTCACTCAATTTCCACTCGTGGAACTCCAGAATGCCCTCAGTACCTGGCACCTTACACATCCCGAAACTCAATAACCTCTGTAGATCCTCCACCGAAGGAAACTCCACCCTGAACGAGTTTGGCTCAAGACTGACTAACTCCCATAGGAAGTCCCCCGGTGCCAGCTCCCGGAGCCGCTGCAAAATTTGGGCCTCAGAGACTTCACCTTTAGTCACTTTAACAATCCCAGACGTCACACTGCGCACCTCATCCGAGACCTCCTTCTCCATCGGAGACTCGAAAAACGTGAGCTCTGAACAGAACACACCATACATCATCAGATTTGGTAGTTGCTCCCTCAAAAGCGGACAAGCCCCTGACTCATGGTCCGGCTTACCACACGTATCGCATAAGGCTGCCACACACTCAGCAATGAAGTGGCCTTTGTTGCCACAGCGATAGCATAACATTCTTTCTTTTTTTCGCGCATACTTTGCCGCCCTGTCCAGCTCAGCCTTTTCAGATCCCTCCACTGACATCACCTCAACCTCTCCATTATTAGTAGGAACCGCCTCCGCCAGAGCTGTAACAACCTCCATAGCCTGACAAGTCAACGCAGTCTCATCGGTATTTACACCAATCGGTGTCTGATCCACGACAACATGCTGCTGCCTTGGGCGATAGCGACCACCTCGGTCGCCCCGTCCACCACGGTTACCACGAAAACCACCACGGTTCCTATGAGCTGGTCCGGCCGCCCCTTCGACGAAACCTCCCGTAGGCCCCAGGAAAGGTCTCTCGGTCGAGCCGTCACATTGCCAAGCATACCCCCGCCCACCACCTGTGGACGAGGATCCCCGGTGCTGTCCGTCACCATACGCGTTGAGACCATCATCACCCCATTGACCACGAGGCACCGACGAGTCACCCCCCCTCACCGGAGCCATCTGTAGCTGCGCCTGCTCCAAAGCCGGTGCCGTCGGATTGTGCGACTGCCGAGCCACGAACTGCGGCGGTCGGGCCCCGGCCTGCATCGCCGGAGGACGCGGCTGTCCAGCCAACGCTGGAGCAGGTGGCCGATGAGACGGTGTACCATGACCCGCAGTCGCCGTGGGGAGAGGCGCCGGTGGCCTAAGTCCACCCCGACCGGCGACAGGAGGCGGGGGTCTACCCGCCGGCAAAGTTCCGCGGCCGACCGCGCCTGGCCTGGGCAGGCCGCCGTGCAGCGTTTGTCGGGCGCCATTTGCCCCCTGGGCCACCTGGTTTGAGGCCGGAGGAGCGGCCGCGCGCGCCGCCCCTAACAGCAGACCCGAACGGCCCCGACCCGCGGCCATAGAGGCCGCCTCTCCGCCCCGGCCGCCTCCCGCAGGCTGAGGCAGGCCTCCGCGCCCCACGCTGCCCGGGACGCCGGCCTGAGCGCCGGCCTTGGCCGGAGGAGGGCCTCCGCCCGCCATGCAACGAAGCGCGGGAACCCGACGAGCGCGTCCCGCCCCACGGTCAGAGAAGCAAGATCGCAGCCTGGGCAGCAGAACCCTAGGCCGCCTCGAACGAGACACCTCTGTCGTCCCGTCGATCGTGCATGGGGGTGTAGCGATCCGCCCTCTAAAACTATCCAAGTTAACCTGGGCCTCATACCCGGTTATCTCAGGCCCACCCAAGACAGAGCCCGGCTCACTCAGAACCGGCCCGTCAGGAAGGCCCTCGAGCGCACAGCCCAGGAGAGCGTTCAAACGCGCCGCCCACTACTGCGAGATCGAGATCGACCGACTCGCCGGCGATCTCGCCATGGCCGCCGCCGGCACACCGCCAGAACGGACAAGCCTCTTCTTCCTTTTAACTTGAATCCAAGAATCCGGATAAATCAGATCGAAAAGAGTAAGGTTCGGTAGACTAACCTTTGGAAGGGGACCCTTCCATGGTCGGACCGCCGTCGCCGCCGTTCGACGGTGAACCACTCGCCGGACCATCTCCTTCTTCTCTCCCGCAGGAAGCCGCACCCTTGCCGGATCTTCAACTGGCAGCACTCTATCCACCGTCGAGGCCACCTCGTCCTCATCATAGCCCGCATGGAAGAATTCGCAGACTAGGTCGGAGGGGGTCGGCGTTGGTGGAGAAGCGTCCGGATCGTCACCGTCACCGTCCGCATCATCCTCGTCGGCTCCGGCCAGCGCCCAAAACCGGCCGCCGACCCGAGCCACCGCCCCCGAGTGCATGGTCCCGGCTCTCGCCGGTCGGGCGGTTGCGTCGCCCGGTCGCCCCGGTCGCTCGGAAGGTGGGGTACCTGTGCAATGGCCGCGGGCGCCTCCCGCATCGCCTCGTGCGTCGTCGTCAAATCGATCATTTCGATCTCCTCTCTGTGAACCTCCTGCAAAACAGACAACACATGGACATCGAAGTCAACTAAAATAAAACGCATCCCTACCTCGATCTGAACGTCCGCCGCCAGGTAGTCGCCGGCAAGGATGTTGTTATCCATATCACGAAGTGACGTCCAGCGCGATGACGGAGAGTGCTGTAGCCGTCCCTCGATCCATCCGCGGATCGGATCCGAGAAACAAAGCACCCACTGATCCGCCATGACCCGGATCTCATCATCCCCGGTGATATCCTCTGAGATCACCGGCGGAGGTGATGGGGCCTGCCGCGCGACTGGCGGCCAAAGTGCGTCGGACGGCTGCGCGCCCGGCGGTAGCGCGTCAGGCGGCCTTGCGGCGCCGCCCAGGACGTCGCCTCCCATCCTCTCAGTCGAACGTGGACACAGTCCCCAACGGGACCCGACAAAACCCCTGGGTTATCCACCTTTAACTACTCCCTAACAACTACTATATCATATGTGTTCAGTTGGAGATCTTCTAGATGTCCTTGACGTGCAGCCTTCATACTTCAACAGATGCTAGATAAATCGCAAGCTAGAACACATGTCAATTACAGTATATAAAATGATTCACTATATTACTTTGGGTAATGACGCATCACAGTATGTTGCGTTAACTCTACATAGACCTACAGACCCAAAATGAAGTGGGACAGTGTGGTCCGTATATATATAACAAAAGCAAATTAGGTGTGTTCAAGAACATGCTGTAAATTATCTACTCCAGATGAGTATCCAATATTATTCAAGAATCACTACGAATGCATTGCGATTAATTCACCGTCTTTGCATTTCCTGATATCAATATCCATGGTGGTTTCAGATGAAGAAGGTACGATGTCACAGCAGTGTCGTCTTAAAGCCTGAAAAGTAACACCATGTTATAATTTATTTTAAGCTAAAAATGCAGTTTAAGCCACCATCCGCAATAACACTAATCCTAGTCATACCTTCCCAGGAACCAGATGCAGTACCTCTGATCTCACTTTTATTTGTTGCATATTCCTCAACTGAATCAAGTTTGGCAAGCATTTCTGGGGCAGCTGCCTGCTGTAATTGCTTTCCGTCTTGCCTTCGCCGGAAGAAATACTTTTTAGGAAGAAAAGAGCAGCTCGTTTGCACTCGTCCCTTGGATAATGCTTGGTGCTAAACATAAAAACATCCGTAACATTGCGACCTCTTCTCCATGGCACAAAGGTTTTTTGCACAGCAAGGATGTCAGGAAGCAGTACATTGCCTTTGAAAACCTGAACAGAATAGCCCCATGCTACTGAAGCAGTAAGTGATCTTGAATGGTCATAGCACACTGTTTGTTGAAGGATCCTTGCTGGGTCAGCATTAGCTGCTCGGAACAAATGCTCAACCGCCTTTGCACGATCCATTCCAGGGTAAAGAGGATAGACATGATCAAGGTGGTGAAGTGACACTAAAGGAGCAAGAGGATGTGCTCTTAGAAATCCAGATATATCCCCATGAAGGTCGATCTGGTGATAATAAAATGCAACAGACCACATAAGTTCAGAATCATGCCTTTTGTGTGTGCACAATTTCAAGTAAAACCACAGGCTAGTTTCATGTTCAAAGATTGAATAAAGAGTTTTTTTTTTTTGAAAAACGGCAGCCATGCTCTAGGTTTCATTGGGTGCAAAATACAGATAAAGGAGGCCTCTATTGGGCATAAAGGAAGCCCCTACATAACATTGGTTCTGCGAATTGTTAAATAAAGCAAGTCAATGGAGCAGAAAGAGATGGATACTTCAACCATGTCCAGGTCACTGTTCTGCTGCTGCTCACACTAACGTTTATTTCGGCAAAATTGCTTTTCCAATGCATCAAGATTGCAATGCCCGAAGCTTTAGGTTATCTGACAGAGACATATTCCAGTATGCCACAATGGTCGCCTAGTACTCCAAATGTGGACCAGAACGCCCCTCTCAAGTGCCATCACGTCAAAATCTGTAGAGGTACCAGCAAGGATCACTAAATCCAGTGACACAGATTTTGAACGGATTCAGCACTAGGAGAGTGCAGCAGTTAGCCAGTAACCATCACCCTGGTGGTGTAGTTCTGGTTGTACATTTTCTTTAGAAGCATTCTACAGGATTGGTGTCGTGTGGTTCGGCGTATCTTGAGGGCATGGTAGAGGATAAGCTTTTGAGCTATGCTCCGAAATAATGTATAACAGAATTCACTCAGACAAAAACTGTAGTACTTGAGAGTTTAATTCAAACCTTTGAGTCTCTCACCAATAGTTTCCCTCTATTATTCGAAGTTTGACACTAGAGACAAGTTTCCCTCTCAACAACAATCCTAGGATGAATCAAGAAAGACTGAACAGCAACATGACAATCCTAGGCAGACTTCAATTATCTAGAACAATCATTGTCGTGATTGTGATTATGAGGCATAAATAAAACATAATCAAGGACCAAGAGTACCAAAGAGTGCTTAGAAGTCCAATTCTTTATCAATTTCCCCATAACTATGAACTAGCATCCAATAGAAACACACAGTTGATTTCGCAGGAATCTCTGTCGAAACATTCCACAAGGAAATAGCAGTAGCACATGCAGAGGCAAAGAGAAATTCGGAGTAGAAGAGGAAAAAGAGAGGCGGCGGTGCACCTGGTGGAATCCTGGCTCGTGGGTGAGCTCGACGCCGAGCTCGGCGAGGCAGGCGTAGATCCTGGAGTCGCTGCCGTAGAGGTGGGGGTACCTGATGATGCAGGAGTCGAGCACGCGGGCCAGGCGCGCTGCGAGGGGCCAGCTGATGGCGATGCCGCCGCCGCCATAGGCCATGTTGAAGCCGTGCCAGACGTTCTGCGCGGCGGACTCGGAAGGCGCGCCGAGGTACCATGGCTCGTGCCAGTCGTACTTGGAGAGGGTGTGGAGGAGGTTGGGGAGGACGAAGGCGGTGTCGTCGTCGGCGAGCACGAGCCACCTCGGCGGCGGCGACTGGTGCTGCTGCTGCTGGCGGAGCTCGAGGAGGAGCTCCTTGGCGATACGCGCGACGCGGACCGCGGAGGGGAGGCCCTTCCGGTAGGAGTAGGGGAAGCGGGAGGCGTCGCGGGAGACGCGGAGGTGGAGGTTCGCCGGGACGGAGGCGGCGCGGGGCGGCGCGTCGAGGAAGAGGAAGGCGCGCGCGGGCAGGCGGAGCCAGAGGCGGAGGAGCGGGAGGCGCAGCGGCAGCGTGCGGCGGGAGGAGGCCACCCCGAACACCACGTGCGAGAGCGTCGTCGGCGAGGGCGACGACGAGGAGGAGGGGTCGGCCTTGGGCTTAGGCTGGGCGGCGGCGGCGGCGGCGGTGGTGGCGGTGGTGGCGGTGGTGCGGAGGGGCGTGGGGAGGATGAGGGGGCCCGGAGGGGCCGGGTGGTGGCGCGGCGGGAGGTGCAGCGTGAGGAGGAGGATGAGCGACAAGAGCGGAAGGGCGAGCAGGGGCGTCCGAAGGGGCGCGAGCAGGAGCCCGTGCGAGTGCGACGGCGTTGCCATGGACGCCGGCCCGGCCGCGAGGTGGGAAAGTGGAGGCCGAGGTGCAGCAACTGGAAAGAAGAAAGGACGTGCCCAACGAGTGGAATCCAGTTCGAATCAGTTTTCTAGAGGCCAGAGCCCAGAGGCACGGATCACTCACAAATTTCCTTTTTCTTCTCCTTCACTGTTTTGACAGCCAGAGGGCGTGTAGATAAAGGACAGGACATTTCATGCTAATGCATGATTTTTTTGATACTATATTTAGCACGCCATAATTTTTTAGACTGGCGAATCACGTAATAGGTGCGCCAAGAAAAATAAAAAACCAATAAATAACTTCCTCTAACTAGGAAGAAGCTCGTGCATTACAACGGGACATACATGCGAGATGGGACTTGCCTGCTCTTCGATATGCTCTGTGCTCCCCGACCGCTTAATCCAACAAGC